ATTTCTGGGAAGCATGTCCAGTATTGCAGAGAGACAGGAACTGCAATTACTACGACCGCTCCATTATTGCAGAAAAAGAGAAACTACGTACAACTGCTACGATGGTTCCAGTATTGCAACCAGAAAGAAACTGCAATCATTACGACCGCTCCGTTATTGCAAAGAGCGGGGAACTGCAATCACCACGGCCGTTCCAGTCTTGCAGAGAGAGAGAAAATCTCCAGTATGCAATTTTGCAGAGAGACAGTAATTACTCAGACCCCACGACCATATCGCTAGTCAGTGGTATGACCCCAGGGATCGTCGAAGGACCGGTATCGAACACTCGAGCACTGACGCCTCCCCATGCTTCTGTATATAGGCGTGTTTGTGTTGGCTCAAACCCTCCCTCCCAACCCGCCCCCCGCCCCCCCGGTTCCTAGGGTTGCGGTTTGTGTGTGGGGGTGGTTTCGTTTCAGGGTTTTTTCAGGGTGGTTTAGGACACATCTGCCTAGGTCCCTATATTTTTGGGGAAACCGGGCATAGGGTTTAGGGTGCCTAGCCCCCCAAGTTTTAGGGGAAAGCGGGCACATAGGGTTTAGGGCCCAGCATTTAGTTTATATTTTTTGGGGGTCCCCCAACCAGGGGAAGCTGGGCTTAGGGTTTAGGTTAGTATTATGTTAGGTTGTTTCCCCTCCACACGGTGCCCCCCCACCGCCAAGCATAAGGCCCAACCTTGATGACATCCACACTTGGTTTTCCGGCCGGTCCAGTCAGAATGTTCCAAACTTGAAACATAATGCCAAAATTGGAAGTTGCATGCACTCGCTCATCGAGTGCTGAATGTCAGGGTGCGCATGTTCCAACTTTTTGGCTTCCACTGTAGTAGCATGGGGATAAGATCGATTGTTGATGCCCGGCTTCCATGCAATATATGATGCATTTCGGGGTTTAGGGCTCGGAATTAGGCTAAGTTCGGGTCTAAAGTTACATAATTCACAGGTTTATAGTGAGCAATTAAATTCTGATGTTGCAAACATTCTTTTGCGGAGGCTCGGATTGATAGGGTAGCTCTTTGAGAAACATCCTTCTGGCCGTGCCTAATCAACGACCCAGCCCAAAGAGTTGAAATTACTTAGAGAATTGGGTAATGTATTTAGGTCATGCCAATTGCGCATCGCGGCCCCTTGTTCTCCAAGGCTGTCATTTGCACACCTCGAGAAGTGTGCAACTTAAACTCACTCAACCCTTGCTATCCCGAACCTTTAAGCCGAAGTCCCAAACCTCAAATCCCTGAAGCCTTCTACTACCCCAAACCCTGATATACTGAACACCAAACCTGAAACACTTCAACCCCCAGGCCTTTAGCCTACAAAGATATTGTACTCTTCTAAGTCTTGTCCCGTAAGTGTGTATTGCGCACCCACGACCCAAGATCCCCGGTAATGTAGGAAGCTGCTGGAGCACGCTGGGGCTCCTGTGATATTTAGAAGATCTGAGGGTCCTGATGTTTAATAGTCTCGGGGGCTACTTGCATGGATAGTTCATGCCTGTCTTCACCCGCAGCTCGGGTACTCTTTGCGATGTACTAGTGAGGGTATTGTGATGAATAGGTTGGGTGGCTTAGGTTCTATGCGCTTGGATCGGATGTCCATTATGCAGACTGGCATGGCCACCATGGAAGCTCGGTGTTGCTTGGATGAGCAGTTTCGTAGCACATCACAGATCAGTCTTGCAATCGTCAAGATTATTAGGGGTGGGGGTAGGGGGGCGGTGGGGTAGGGGTTGCTAGGGGATATTGAGTACATCCGTACATCCCATGGCATAAGATACAGCGAAATATAGAATCTATTCACCTCCAGAAATATGCAAGTTCAACCCATCGAACCCTGGCCAGCCATTCGGAACCTTAAAGACAAGGCTGCTTATAGTCTCAGACCTTGTACTATCCTAATACTAAGATTTAAACTTCAGAGCTTCAAAGGTCCAACCCTCAGGCCTTTCGAATTAGCAAGCCGGGTTCACTCGTGTGTGTATATGGCATGCCTCTCTTTTTCTCTCCTTCCTCTGTTCTCCGTGGATTCCGCGATCGGTGCGCTTTGGCTTGTGATATGGGTTTAGGGTTGTATGGTTCTAGTCTGTAGGATAACCTGTGCACCAGGTGCACGCCGGGATCAGCTGGCCACGACAGCCAGGGGGAAGCTCGGTCTCGGTGAGATTCAGGTCGGTTTCGAAACAATCAAGCATGCAATCGTGGGATCCTAAGATGTCATGTCTGTTGATCTAAGGACTCTGGCAATATGTTATGATTGGACACAGTGGCCATTCTCTGCTACGAAAAGACATAAGTAAGTGTGTGTGTGTGTGTGTCTCGGTGCGGTGTCAGGAATGTCAGCATTACAGATCTCGCCGTGCTTGCACTGTTTCGAGTGTCTGCGGTGCTCTGAGCGGTTTTGATAGTCGACTTTGGGTCCCGGACACAGAAGCCAAACCGTGCTGCTCCTCCTGACGGTGGGCTTGG